AGCTAGAATCTTTGTGAAACAAAAATGGTGTTGGGCTGTAATGTTCGCCATGTTTTTTGGGCCACAATGACTATGCTTGGGCAAGGATCCATCGGCGTTGAAAGGAGTTAGAGAGGGAAAAAGTTTTGGTTAAATTAGGAGCTTGTATAACTGTAGAACTACAGAGATACTATCTTTAAATATAGTTATAAACTAAATTAATATTATCTTTAACTATTCTACTTTAACTATTTCATTAATCTCTCAACTAATATTTAGATGTCTTTAACTATTTTTTAACAAGCTATAGGCTTAATTTATTAGTTAAACTTATTAAACCTTTAGTTAACTTTGCTAACAGTTTAACTTTATAATTTATTTTATACATCTAGTTAATTTCTATAATAAACTACTCTAGTTAATTATTACTACAGTAATACTATAGTTAAAAAAATCCTAAGATAGTGCAGTGCTGAGTGCTTGAGGAAGATGGCGCTGTGTTGAGCACTGTAGCAGTGCTGAGTGCTTGAGGAAGATGGCGCTGTGTTGAGCACTGTAGCAGTGCTGAGTGCTTGAGGAAGATGGTGTAGAACTGATACTCAGTCAGGTATGAAGCTGTAGATTTGGAGGAAGATGGCGCTGTCCTGAGCACTGCAGCAGTGTTGGAGTGTTCGAGGAAGATGGCACTGTCCTGAGCACTGCAGCAGTGTTGGAGTGTTCGAGGAAGATGGCACTGTGTTGAGTGCTTGAGGAAGATGGTGCTGTGCTGAGTGCTCGAGGAAGATGGCTAGAAACTTTGTTATATACTTGGAGTTCTAGTAAAGTAAACATTTATATAGAGAAAATTTTTATGTATAATTACTTATACATTTCTAAGTACAAGTTGCTTATAACTATGCTATAACAGTTTTACAAAGCCTCAACTATTATCACTATATTAGTAGCTACTCTTAACTATATTTTGGTGATAAGCTTGCTATAGCCTGAACTATCATAACTGTATTGGTCGCTAGTTTAGTACTACTTTTCACTATATTCTTGTTATTTATTTTATTAGAAAGTATACTTATTCTATAATTATATATACTCTAGTAATATCTATTCTATATCTTTATAATTTCATAAACATATCATGCCCTGAGTTCTACATTGTTAATAGTATTAGTCTTACCTTTTATATTATATACTACAATAGTTCAATGGTTTACCTTATATGCACAAAATAAATGAACCATAT